AAAAAAAAAAAAAAAAAAAATTACTTAAACATCCTGGGCTTCGGTGTCCTCATCTCTAAAATAGGAGGATAACTAAAACTTCCTCATCATTGGGTTGTTGGGAGAGTTCAATGAATTGATGTGACATTTTCTCTCCATCACCTCTGCTATCTTATTTAAGCCTTTCCACAGTCCACCCCAGTGTGAAAAGGAGAAAGAAAAAGATGGTCAAGTTAGTTAGTTTGCCTTGGGTCACCCTGCAGCTCAGGGTACTGCCTGGGGTCTGAGTTCAGGTCTCCTGAATGGTCCAAAGATACAAGTCAGTCCTCAGGGATAAGTGCCAGTGGTATTAGCAGGTGTGAGATTAAGGGCTAAAGGTTTCAGGCTACACTGTAAGGACTTCAGGAGGAGAAGGATTCAGGATGATCTTGAAAGATAGAGGATGAGCCGGGCTCGGTGGCTCAGCCTGTAATCCCACGCCTTTGAGAAGCTAAGGTGAGTGGATTGCCTGAGGCCGCGGGTTCGTGACCCACCTGGGCAACTTGGTGAGACCTCATCTTTACAATAAATCAAAATGAGCCGGGCGTGGTAGCACGCGCCTGTAGTTCCAGCTACTTGGAAGACTGAGGCGGAAGGATCGCTGGAGCCCAGCAAGTCGAGGCTGCGGTGGCCACCAGGAGTGGCCACTGCGCTCCAGTCTGGGCAACAGAGTGAGACTCCAACTCAAAAAAAAAAAGAAAGAAAGAAAGATAGAGGATGGATAACCTGAGCTGAGGAGTTCTAGACAAGCCTGGGCAACATGGGGAGACCCCTATCTCAAAAAAAAAAGAGAGAGAGAAAGAAAGAGAAGGAAAAGAGAGAAAGAATGAAAGAGAAGGAAGGAAGATGAAAGAAAGATGAAAAGAGAAGATAAAAGAAAGAAGGAAGGAAGGAAAGAAAGAAAGAGAAGAAGAAAAAGAATGGGTTGGGTCTGGACAAGCCTAGGGAGAGGTCAGAGCCAACATGGGGGCTGAAGTCAGGGAGACTAGCTGGAGAGGCTGCAGTGATGACATGAAATGCTTAAATCGGTGCCAGTCTGCAGCCTCTTGAGTCTGAAGCACCAGCAGGACACCTAGAAACCATCTAGTGCTGCATTCTAGCCTCTTAATCACTTGGCCACCTCAGCCACCAAAGCCCAGACTGCCTGGTTTCAAATATTCTCTCCTCCAGTTAACTCCCGATACTACACTGCCCTGTCCTGTTCAAGAATCTACAATAGCTCCCTACTGCCAAGTAGAGTGAGTCCAAATTCCCTACCTGCATCAAAGCTCTCATGCTCTGGCCTGGCCTCACCAATCCCAGCCCCAGCCCAGTCCCAGACCACCCCCTGCCCAAGCACAGTCAGGCTCACTTCTGCCTCCGAGACTCTGTTCACCTTGGCCCCTTCTCGAATGTCCTCACCTCCCCACATTCTACCCACTCTTCAAAGTCCACAGAGTCCAGCCAACTTCTGTGAAGTTCCCTACAGGGGACTCAATCACATCCTAGCTGCCAACCAGAACAACAATGAAGACCCCAACGGACGCTATGTGTGAGCACGTACTCTGGTCCAGGCACGTGCTGAGTTGTTTACATGTGAGAGTTCACTTAATCCTGACCACAACTCCAGGAAATAGGCATTGCCCCCACTTCTTATAGACAACGAAATTGAGGTTCAGAGGCTAGAGGACTTGCCAAAGGTCACGGGGCTGTTTCAGTGGCAAAGCCAAAGCCACTTACTCATCCCTAAGCCCGTAGTCTTAACCGGCAGGCTCTTCTGCCACTTCCCAGGGATGCCCTGCCCGTTGCAGTTCACGGGACAGTCTCATCTGGGACTGCGTGACAGCATGATGATGGGGGTTTTGGTTTGATTTACACTGTTGTGTTACTGCACATTGACTTGTCTTTCCACAGGGGCGAGCCTCAACCTCCCATCCAAGGCTGTGGACAATTCTAGCATTCCCTGCAAGCCTGTCCACACACTCATTTGTTGACTACTCGTTGTCTCAGTTCTGAGGTGCTTGGGCTTGTTTCTACAGGCCCCAGCGATGAGGGACACAAAGAGCTCAAACTTTGGGTCCAAACTCCAACTCTCTAATGATAGTTCCGTGGCAGGGGAAAGTCACTCACTAGTCAGAGTTCCTATTTCCTCATCTGTAAAACAGTTAGTAATTTAAACTTCACAGCGCCGCTGTGGAGATCAGTTGAGATACAAAGTATGTGAAGTGCCCTGTATAGCCCTGGCCCAGAGCCGAGCTCGTAAACTCTGATGTTTACAATCAGGGTAAGCGTTGGCACCCCTCTCATTTCACTCTCCACACTATGAGGTAGGTGCCATGGGATCCTTGTACTACAAGTGAGCACCTCTGTGGCTCAGAGAGGTGAACCTGCCCTGCTGGGGTCACACAGACGATGAGAAACAGCACAGGGCCGATGAGAGCAGCATAGCACAAGGCTTGCGTATCATTTGGCTAACATCCTGATACTCTGTACCAGGATGATATTCAAAATATCTAAGCACTCGTAAGGTACACGTGCTGCAAATCAGAACTGACACAGGCCAGGACATCACCCAGTTCCCCTATTGGGCTCTACTGCCTTCCCATTTTCACACCAGTTCCCTTCCTAGATCTTTCTCCAACTGGAGTTCCCTGGGGAGCATCACTGTGCCGTGTCCCTTCTCACATAATGTCAGGCACAGTGAGCCAAGTAATCAGTGGCTGCATCGAATTCCAACAGGGACTTCTAAGAAGCAACTTGGAGACAGACCTCAGGTGACAGCCAGGAGTCGAGAGAGGAATTCCAGATGCAGAGGAAGGATGGAGGCCAAAAGGGACAGGCAGGAGGTGACCAGAGAGCGCTCACCTGAAGATACCATAGGGAGCTTTCCCCACGTTGTTGTTGATGTCTTTTTCCTCAATCACTGCATCCTGGTAGAATTGGGGTTTGAACAGAAACTTCCAGGGACAGGCCATCTCTGTGACTTTGCAAAGTAGATCGCTTGTCTGGATTTAAACGTGGATGGTTCTTCACTGTGGGGCTGAGGAAGGGAATGCAGAGGTGAGGGAGGGTTGAAACTGGGCCTTCCCAGCATACTTAGCTCACTAAAGAATCAGTATGAGCCAGGAGCGGTGGCTCAAGCCTGTAATCCTAGCACTTTGGGAGGCTGAGGCAAGAGGATTGCCTCAGCCCGTGGGTTCGAGACCAGCCTGGGCAACATGGTCAGACTTCATCTCTACGAGAAATCAAAAAATCAGCTGGGCGTGGTAGCGCGTACCTGTAGTTTTGGCTACTTAGAAGACTGAGGCGGAAGGATCACCTGAGCCCGGCAGGTTGATGCTGGGGTGGCTGTGAGCGTGCCACTGCACTCCAGCCTGGGCACCAGAGTGAGGCTCCAACTCAAAAAAAAAAAAAAAAGAATCAATGTGGACACCAGCACCAGCATAAGTCCTGAACAACCACCTCATCAAGGTTTTGAAACCTCTGTTCCTTTTTGGGGGTTGGATTTGGGAAGCCTATGGACACAGACTTCTACAAAACCACATAACAATAGAAAAAACACTAGACTCTCAGCATTGCCACATAACACAGACAAACTATACACCCCTGAGCCTCCTCAGTGGGATATGCTGGCCTGCCTGACCCAGGTAAGTTTCATCACTGACCCCAGGGAAGGTGAGAAGAGCCAAGTGGTCACTGAAACAGGGATGCCTTTGCCTGACCCTGTATTAGCAATGACCATATTAGGTCTGTTGCTGGGGAAAGCACAGTTAGTGTGGGCGCCTTTAAGACTTTGCAATTGTTGTTTATCCAAAGACAGCGCTACTACTGGCTCCTTTTTTACTATTCAGGAAGGAAATATTTGTGGGGGAAAAAATGCACTCCACTCTCAATGTTTGAGATGATCTCCTTTGAAAAAGACAAAAGGAAGATCTAAGAAGTAGTCCGGGTGTGGCCTGGCCTTGCCTACAGCACACCTCTTCACTGGAAAAACTATCTTTAGAAGGCAGTATAGGCATGTGATCCACATAAGAAATTTAGAACCACACAGACCTGGGTTCAAATTCTAGCCCTACTAGTTACACGTTCTGGATCAAGTTATTTAACTGAAACTCATCTCTTTGTCCATAAAATGAATTTAATAATATCCATCATAGCATGATTTGTTGGGGGAGGTGCATATTCTAAGGACTGGATAAGACAGACCAACTCTACATTAAAAAAAAATTCTTAGCAGACACTCTCCCCCCTAATTCTTTCCAGAAAGTTTTCCCTTATAAAGTAGCAACCACAGCAAACATCTGCAGAAAAGAAATTTGAACAAGATTCCCTGTGTTCAAATGACCGAACCCCAGTTGGCATTTCTTTACCTAGACTTTCCATCAGCTTATCTCTGTAGGCATAAAATTCCCACATTTTTTTGAGCATTCCCAAACAGGAAGAAGCAAAATCTCTCAAAACAGCAGCTTCCCCAGAAATGAAGACTACTCACTTCACAGCTGGCCGCACCACCTCTGCAGGGTAGGGACACACAAACAGGGAAGAGACCTGTGCCTTGAGAGTTTCAGAACTGTCTGTAACTGCCCAGTCCCCTCACCAACGGCAGCTGAGAGATTTCAAACCAGCGATGCTGAGTTGTCTGGGTCCAGGACCTCAGCCTTCAACTCGCTTCGAAGTGATGATCACACTGGCAGCTAGCAAGTATTTATACCCAGCCTGTGCCATCCAGGGAGCAGTTTTTGCATAAAGGTTTCTTTTTTGTTGTTTCCAAAGGGAGTGTCCCCAGCTGGGTGTACAGTTAGCTAGTTTATGACTGGTACTTCTGGCTTGGGGGTGACTAGGCCCTGCTGTTACATCACTCTGAGTGGCACATCTTCAGGAAAGCCACCTCTTCCTGGTACCAGGTCCAAGACGTCAGCTCAGCAGCAGGGTGGCCCCCAAGATAAAGGAGTCACCTTCGAACCAGGCTTTAGTTGGCCAAGCAGCATTGCCTCACTTTCAGCATCTGGGGGATTTTCTCCTCGGCAGGGAGCTTTCTGGTTAATTCCTCCATCCTCTCACTTTACCAGTTTGCGGCAGGAGTCCAGGAGGCTGAGGAGCTCTGACAGCACGGAACGTGCTGGAAAATGCCCAGGTTACAGAAGGCCAGTGATGCTAGATGACACCATTATTCCACACAGGTCCCAGAAATAGTCAGCCTGAGGTTTCTGGAAGGGAAGGGGAGGAAGGCTGTTGGCACAGGGAGGCCACTTAGATGTTGTTGGTACTGACATCTCACCCCTGAGCACTACATCGGCTTTGGTAGGATGGCAGGTCAAATTATTTTCTACAGGGGAAAAATTCCTTTTCTTATACTGGAAATTATAATTTCTTATATGAAAAAAATTATAGTTTTTTGTAATTTCTTTTCTTAGAATGCCTCAAATACAGCATTCCTATATGGTATGCATTTTCCCCCTGTGGAAGTAAAATAAGAACTACATCAGAGAGGGGTTGAAAATAGAGGGGAAAATATCACTCTTGATCTCACCGTCTTAACACATCGCTGCCACCATACACTCATTTCCTTCCTGTCTTCCTCAAATTAAATTCAGCATTATAATGTATTAAATTTGTCAGAGATAAACTAACAGTCACAAAAAAGACATGAATAGGAGCTCAAAGATTGTGTTAAGTGAATGAATGAATGAAAAATAGAAGTAAGCTGGGCTGGGTGACTCAGCCTGTAATCTCAGCGCTTTGGGAGGCTGAGGTGAGTGGATTGCCTGAGCCCATGGGTTCGAGACCCACCTGGGCAACTTGGTGAGAACTCATCTCTACAATAAATCAAAAATTAACCGGGTGTAGTAGTGCACACCTGTAGTTCCAGCTTCCTTGGAAGGCTGAGACGGAAGGATTGCTGGAGCCCAGCAGGTCGAGGCTGTGGTGGCCGGGAGCAGCCACTGCACTCCAGTCTGGGCAACAGAGTGAGACTCCAACTCAAAAAGAAAAAAGAAAAAAAAAAGAAAAAGAAAAATAGAAGTAAACTGCAAGAAGTTTTTGTTTTTGTAAAGACGTGAGGTCTCCCTATGTTGCCCAAACTGGTCTCACTCATAGGTTTAAGTAATCCTTGGCCCTCAGCCTCCCAAAGTGCTAGGATTACAGACATGAATGACTGTGCTGGCCTGGAATGAGTTTTAACATATCAAAGCCACCCTTCTTTCAGGTCAGCAGAACAATACTAATCAAGGAAAGCCTTGGAGTCAGAGTCCCTGGCCTCAGGGAGTACAAAGTCTAGTAAAAGGAATAGGTGGTTACTTCACTCTTCACTGTGCATCTTCAGTAAACCCAGGTATAAGGTGATACTTGTAGTGATGGAGGGAGGACATGGTGCTGAAGCAACTGGATCTGCATTGCTCCGGGAAGGTCTGCAGGGCAGAGAACACGAAGGCACGGTTTTGAGGGATGATTAGGAGTTTGCCACACTCTAACCTCTATTCTCTGTCATCGCTTTCACATATTCTGGCTATACCTGCAACAAATACATACAGTAACTCATTTAACAGTCCCTAGAATCCCATCTACTTGGCATTAGAACACCTGGTTGATTTTGGTTCAGAAAAATGCAGTCATTCAGTTATTTGATCTGTCAAAAGTGTGACCAACGATCTTTGGTGCGTGGGCAGGGAAACCCCAGGATGTGTGTGAGTTACTCTCCGCTTGAGGCTGGTCCCTGGGCTCACTCTTTCAGATGCTCCCATCTCTGATGAAGGGGATTTCTCCCAAATGCAGTCCCTGAGGAGTGTCTCCATAGCCTCACTACTGTGTCGAGTGACCACAGCAGGGAGCCTCCCCTGGAGCGATCTCGCCTACCTGAAGTATGTGATGCACATGACTGCCCAGCTGTTTGTGCACTCATTGCCCTCTTGGGCGCTTCACCTTGTGGACAGCTGTGGAAACCATGGCATCTGGGGTATCAGGTGGATCTGCGGCATGAACTGAGTCAATGAATGAACAACATACTGAATGAATGAGGAGTGATGTCCATCAGAGGCCTCTGAAGTGCCTGGCACAGGGTGAGAGCTCAGCAACACTCATCTCCTGCCCCGCCCCTCCTTCTTGCATTCTGCTCACATCACTAGCCTGGGGCCAAGGTGCTACCTCCCCTCGGGTGCCCCTCTAAGACAGCAGTCGCCAACTCGCGGCCTGTGGCGGGGTTTGAGTTCGTGGTTACCATTTAACCCCAGCAGCAAGCTCTCAGGGCACAGTTGGAATTAGCCAGCCGGGGAGAAAACATAATTTCTCCTCAACCCTCACAAGTTTATAGTTGGGACAGATACTTGGAGCAAAAGATAGATTAGCAAGAGAAAAATAAGCACGTTTATTTTTATTTTGTTTTTGAGTTGGAGTCTCACTCTGTCGCCCAGACTGGGGTGCAGTGGCACGCTCCCGGCCACTGCAGCCTCGACCTGCTGGGCTCCGGCGATCCTTCTGCCGCAGCCTTCCAAGTAGCCAGAACTACAGGCGCATGCTACCATGCCCAGCTAGTTTTTGGTTTGTTGTAGAGATGAGGTCTCGCCAGGTTGCCCAGGTGGGTCTCGAACTCGCAGGCTCAGGCAATCCACTCACCTCGGCCTCCCAGAGTGCTGGGATTGCAGGCTGAGCCACTGAGCTTGGACAGCACGTTTCTTTTTTTTTTTTTTTTTTTGAGTTGGAGTCTCACTCTGTCACCCAGACTGGAGTGCAGTGGTCGCTCCCGGCCACCGCAGCCTCGACCTGCTGGGCTCCGGCGATCCTTCTGCCTCAGCCCTCCAAGTAGCTGGAACTACAGGCGCGCGCTAACACACCCGGCTAATTTTTTGATTTATTGTAGAGATGAGGTCTCACCAAGTTGCCCAGGTGGGTCTTGAACCCGTGGGCTCAGGCAATCCACTCACCTCAGCCTCCCAAAGGCGCAGGATTACAGGCTGAGCCACCGAGCCCGGCTGCCAGCACATTTCTTAACACGTGCAGTGCACATGGAAACTCAATGAAAGACAACTCCACGAAAAGGCTTAGCACTCTGTCTTGGAGAATATCTTCAATCAAAAACGACACATTTGGGAGAGTGAAGGACAAAGGCAAGCAGCTGTGGGCTCCCGGGGTGGGAAACAGTGGGAAGGTCAGCACGCAGGAGAAAGCTAAAGGAGCCATGTTTGTGCATAGACTCCCTAGTGCAGGGGTACCCGGCCCCTAGGGCCGCGACCTGTTAGGAACCGGGCCACACAGCAGGCGGTGAGTGGCGGGCAAGCAAGTGAAGCTTCGTCTGTAATTACAGCTACTCCCCATCTCTCGCATTACTGCCTGAGCTCCATTCGCTATCAGATCAGTGATGGCATTAGATTCTCATAGGAGCACAAACCCTATTGTGAACTTCACATGCAAGACATCTAAGTTGCACACTCCTTATAATAATTTAAAGCTGGATGATCTGGGGTGGAGCTGAGGCGGAGATGCTGGCTCCAGGGAGTGGCTACAAATACAGATTCACTTTAGCAGTGAGGTTTGACTGCACAGAGACCATAATAAATCAATTGCTTGCAGACTCATATTAAAATAGTAATTTCATAATAGCAATGATTTCATTATACATTACAATGTAATAATAATAGAAATAAAGCGCACAATACTTATAATGCGCTTGAATTATCCCAAAACTGTCCCCCCCCCAGTCTGTGGAAAATTGTCTTCCATGAAACCCATCCCTGATGCCAGAAAGGTTGGGGACCTCGGCCCTTGGGCTGTCTCTGAGGCCAAGAAAGTTCTCTTCTCTTCTCTTCTCTTCTCTTCTCTTCTCTTCTCTTCTCTTCTCTTCTCTTCTCTTCTCAGGGAAGGTCTTTGTCCCGGAGTTTTTCTGGTTTCCTGCGGGTGGGAAAGGTGGTTCAGATCACCATCTCAGCAGCCACTGGTTCACTAGAGCCTTCAGCTGGGAAGAATCAGGATGCCAAACAGCATGTCCTGGTGTGGCAGGTTCTGGTTTCCTTCAGTCCTGGAAAGGTCCTGGGTTCTAGTGACAGCTCCATGGCTGAGCAGCTGTGTGACCTTGGGAAAGCCACCTCTCTTCTCTGGGACCAATTTTTCACATGACAAATGGTGACAAAGATAAAAGTGAGCAAATAAGATATGCTTTGTGTTGATGATCATAAAGACAGCCAAGCAAGAATCATGGGTGCTGGCTGCAGGTCAGGGAGTGACAAGTCACCGTCCGTCAAAGAGCAAGAGATAGAATGACTCACTTGCTTCACCTGGGATGTGTCCTTCCTCTGACAGGTCAGTGGTCTCAGCAAGTACTGACTTTTGCACTCCCGATTCTCTCTCTCTCTCTCTCTTTGTAAGATTAAATTCATTTATTTTAATTTTTAATTGGAATAAAATGTACATAACATAAAAACCACCGGTTAACTATTTTAGAGTGCAAAAAGCAAATGGTTTTTAGAATAGTCACAATGTCGTGTAACCATCGCCACTCTCCCAATACTCTCTTAACTGTTGAGTAGGGAGAGGAGGGAAGTAAAAATAGTGATAAGGATTGTGATGACATAACGAGGTAGCAAGACTTATCACAGTCACACAGCAGATGACCTC